CATTCCTTTTTCCCCTTGGATCAAGGTTGAGGGACTTCTAAGAGAATAGTTGATGGATTTGGTATAAAGTTAGAGCATAAAGTAGTGAATCTTTTATGCTTGTATTGGCTGATATTTTGGTCAACCTCTGTTTATAGCATGAAACACTAGAATATCAGCCTCAGAGCTTACAGATAGCTTTTAATGTTGAAAGTTTGTTTTATTTCCTTATTCATCTTTATGTTGCTTTGTCGAACTTTGGAAGAATTTACGGATAATTAATAAGATTGTTTTGGCTTTGGGAGAAGCTCAAAATTTGGCTCTGTCAGAGCTTTTTGAGGATTCTAATTTTTTACTTCCTCAACATCCATGTTAAGTTATACAGAATAATAACAACTTTTTTGTTATATTAAATGTCACACTTATAAATATTAGTCAAACTTGTGATCAATTTGTAATATATTTGATTTGTATTTGATAACCTTATATGCTATTAATGCAACTTGAATTCGTAAATTCTTAATTAATTTTTTTTTTTTTTGGATGAATTGTTATGAATTATGATTGTTTATACTTATTGGGTGTGAGGGGTGTTGATTGTTGAGTTGGAAAAATCCAGTCATTTGGTAGGGCTAGTTTGCTTGTAAAATATATGGGAGTGTTTTTATTTTTTTTGGACGAATTGTTATGATTATGATTGGTTAATTAATTTAAATGTAAATCTTGTTGTATCCTTTAGATTGGCTTGGTATGGAGGACTCTACAGATTTAGGAATGGGTCGTAATGTAGCCGTAGGTCAACTTCCTTCTACTGGTAGTACTGTTTGTCCAAAGACGAAAGTTTCAGATGTTTAGGGTCAATTTCAACATCTAGAAGATAATGGGGAAGTGAGGGAAGTGTATGATTTGTGGTAAGTCTTATGCACATGGTAGTTCCAGTCATGGGACTAAGAATAGGAGCGCCTATGGAAGTTGTCCTAAACGTACCATTACTACTAGTGTAGATCAAATGATGATGATTGTGACACTAAATTGAGCGTTTGAAGATTTCTCAAATTTATCGTGAGAAGAGGGCAATAGGAATCATAAAACATAATTACCCATATTCAATAGTGGAGCATGAAGGAATTAGGGATGTCCACATGTATTTGAATCATGAAGTTAAGCATTATACTAGGAACACCGCTAAGGCGGATTGCTTAAAGATATATTACAGGAGAAGGAAAGGATTAAGCTTGCTTTAGAGAGGGTTTTCGGTAGAATATGCTTGACTTCTGATATTTGGAGTTCTGGTACTACTGATGGGTGTATTTCTTTAACGGCTCACTATGTTGATGAGACTGGGAGTTACAGAGGTAGAATTCTGAATTTTAGCCATATTCCTCTCCACACTCGGGGCTCTTTTGTCAGACATAGTGTATGATTTCTTAAAAGATTGGGGGATTGAAAAGAAAGTATTCTCTCTTACATTAGACATGCAAGTACAATGATAAAATGGAGACATTTTAAGGAGTCAACTTTGTCTGCAAAATGTTTTATTATGTGATGGTTCTTTTTTTCATGTGCGATGTTGTGCACATTCTTGAATCTGATAGTCCAAGAAGGGTTAAGATGAGTAGCGTGGCTTTGCATAAATCGTGAAAGTGTGAAATATGTTAAAGGAAGTGAGGCTAAAAGAATAAAGTTTGGAGAACTTGTTAAACAAATTGGTGTAATAAGCTCAAAGGATTGCGAATGGATGTTCCCACAGATGGAATTCCCTTATTTTTGCTTAAAAGGGCGTTAATTACGTCGTGTGTTTGTTCATTTGGCCCTGATAGATCCCAATTATAAAAGTTATCATTCAAATGAAGAATGGATAGGGCGAGAGGATTTGCAAGTTCTTGCAACCATTTTATGAGATCACTACTCTTTTTCGGTTCCCGTACCCCACAGAAACTTGTATCTCAGAAATGTGTGGGAATCAGTGCGTTTATACGAAGAGATGGAAATGAGGATGAAGTTCTTATTACATGGCAATTCAAATGAAAGGAAAATTTGACAAATATTGGGATTCTATATAGTTGTGTTAGCAATTGCAGCAATTCTGGACCCACGTTTCAATTTGAGTTTATTGAGTTTGTTGAGTTTTGTTACAAAAAAGTTGATGGCCCAGTAGTTGCAACAAGAAAGTTGGAGTTGGTGCAACAGGAGTTGTATAGGCTTTTTGCTGTTATGAAGTCTAAGTGGCCATGAGGTTCCCACTGGAGATGATTGCGGACAAGCTAGTAATCCTCATATCATTGGAGATGATATATGTGTAAGTCATACTCCCTAAATTTTTATATTCTTGTGATTAATAAAGTTTTCTTTATTTGTAATTTTGCTTTATTAAATTTACTATTTAAATGGTGCAGGAATTTGACTACTACAGAGTACTTTAGTGCTATTAAGAAGTCTGAATTGGATACTTATTTGGGAGAGGCAAGATTTAATCGCATCAAATTTTCCAATTTGGATGTCCGGACCATTGGAAGAAAAATGTGATCGATACCCGATACTTTCGATGATGGCCCGTGATGTGATGACTAAACCATAATGACTGTTGCTTCGGAATCCAGTTTCAGTATTGGTACAAAGTGCTCATAAATATCGAAGTTCACTTTTACTACGAGATGCCAGTCTTTGATATGCACCAGGACATGGATTTCTGGATATGAAGTTAAAGGTAACATTTTAACTTATATTTCACATGTTTTAATATTTTTGTTTGTTAATATATTACGATAGTTAACTTATATCTTGTTAATTGTAGAAGATGAAATTGATGATGCTCAGCTGGTTGTGCCATTAAGTCAAGGGCGGGGGAAGGAGATTGCATAATCAAGGGAGGCTTTGTTTGTTTAGTGTGTTTGGTACTTTGGTTAAACAATTATATACGTTTAATTATTTAGTGTTTACTATGTTATGTATGTTGAATGTTAAACAATTTTATATGTTTAGTGTTTACTAATTAGTAATTACTATGTATGTTTAGTGTTTATTAATTCTATTATCTATATGGTGGAGTTTGATATAAATATGAAAAATATTAATATTGAATTAATAATATTGGTGAAATCTAATCAAATTTAATTTAATCATCCATTTATTTAATATAATAAGTTAATAACTAATAAGTTTAATATGGAAAACAGTAAAAAATATGAAAAATGTAAAAAGTTGCTTCCATTTTCACGGGTGACCCGTGCCCGCACGGGCGGGTACGGATCATGAAAATGTCGACCCGCGAGAATTTTTCACCCGTTAACCCGTGACCCGTTGCTACCCGGACCATACCCGCCCAACCCGCCCGTTTGCTAGGTCTATCCAAATCCCATATAATTTAAGGATATTTCCTAAGTTATCAGCTAATGGGATGCAAGGAAAGATTTGCACGACACCTACCCACTTGTAGACTTGTAATCATTATCTTGAACTCAGTAGCTATAAATAGAAGACTTCCCCTCACAAAATCGGAATCTTTGATTTTCATAAAAACAAGTAGCAAAACAACACACGGGAAAGAGATTGACCTAATATTCTCTCTAAATACCAAGCACTTGTAATTCTGTTCGATGTTTGCAACCTCTTGTAACTTGGCTTATAACTAAGAACACTCATATAAAAGAAAACAATGGATGTAGAAATCGTTTTAAGCATCCGAACCACTATAAAATTATTACTGTCTCATTTATTATTAAGTTTTTGCATGCTACTATAACATTATCCTAACTCTCAAATTAATCATGTGTAACTTCTAAGACATGCTTAGCATTTTCATATATAATTTATGCATCATAATCAACTCTTATAATCATTCATGTGTAATTTATAAGACATGCTTAGCATTTTACACGTGTGAGGTCATTGGTATCAAAATCAAGCATTAACAATATTAAATTGTATTGAGTTGTGAATATTTAGTCTATTTGTACAAAAGTGTGATAACTATATAAGGATATAAAATATTATAAATAACAATGCAATCTTAATAATAAAGTAAAGAAAATCATATCTTAGCATAATTAAATAAAAATAATTCACTTACTCTCATTCTAGATAATATGTGAAATAATGTTAGAAATTTTCTTTTCATTTTCGCATGTCAAAGTCTTCCGAGAGTCCATCTTCTAATTTCATTTTAACTTTTTCATTTATAAATCTAATTTAAATACAATAACTGATATAAAGATAGATAAATAATTAATTCTAATCTAATTTTTCTCTCTCACCCGCATTATACTAATTACTAAATATGGACAGATTAACTTCACATTAAAACAAAATTACAGCCTGTGGGTTCATTGAACCTGGACGACATTTGGTTCTTTTTTTCTGGATATATTCTTCCTGTGTCACTATAATAAAGAAACATAAAGGACCATCAAGAGTGCGGAAGGCGAAAGGGAAAGGTGGTAAGTGATTACTTTTCGCAGTACATTTGCAGGTTTATGCATGTAGAATACATTACAGTGTACATTTTCTTTGTCCTTTTCTCCTTGTTTAATGATCTTGACTTCTTATACCTTCTTTTATCCAATAACTTTGCCAGGGGACACGGTGATTTTTTAGAAGTCAAGACCCTTTTGAGATAGTGGGGTTGCAATCTGATGATCCACAAACATTCATTGACTTTCGTGAGTAGTGAACTACTTCGATTTTAGTGCTTAACTTTATTCTCTCTTAAAATGATGCAATTTTGAACGAGTATATTTAATATTTCAACTTCCAACTTTGGGCGTTTTGTTTTGGTTCATTCGTATGGAGTCTTCTGTGTAATGATTTTATTCTTTGTAGGCTGATTGAGTCTTCATTATTGAATTAATTTGTAAAATAACTTCCATTAATTAAACAAACAATATTGTAAGTGGAATCTACTATGGGGTGGTAGAGAAGATACAGTGTGCCAGTGCTATGAATAAACTAAATAAAGAAGAAGCCGTACGTAAAAGTTTCGTTTTTATTCAAGTTAATCGTTAAGGTTCCAAAAGGCCGTCGACTTCATGATCGATACCGATTACTGAAAACTAATTGTTAGGATGTATATGCTAAACACCGAAAGAATCCTGGTATTGTTTTTACAAGGGAAAAACAAGGCATTCGTCTTAACGTTGTTATCAAAGTCTCCTCTTTCCTGAACTGGGCATAGTTTTTATTCATTACTTTGTTTATTTCCATGCATTGTTTCTCTTTTAATTTGTTCCGCTTGTCATGGCTCTAATAATATATGAAAGTTGAAACCAATCTTAGATTAATACAAATGAAACATGAAACATGTTTGACATTTCATACAAATGACACCACTTTGAACCCTAAGAATGACCTATTTAATGTCTGTTTGTTATGGACACAAGTGTAGTATCAGGCTTTTAGCTCAACAAATTAAATTATACCAAGAAGCTTTACCCTTTTGAAAATGGTGTGTTTTTGAAGGATTCATAGCCATGTTTCATGTGACAGATAAATAATCGCTTTTTGCTTGATTAAATGCTTATATGGAGTCATATCATCACTGCCATATTTTTCTGTTTGTGACTTGATTTTTCCTTTGCATCACAATTGTTCAGTGAATTACAGTAGTCCTTGTTTTCCATGGATCCTTCAACTGAAGAGGTTGAAACAAAACATGTGGATATCAGACCAATATCATCTTCTCAGCCTAACTCACAGGATGAGGTATACGTTCACAAGGTGGAAATTCCCCCCAAGCAAAACCTGTTCGTGGAATTCAAAGGAATTGTTAAAGAAACATTCTTAGCTGATGATCCTCTGCGTCCCTTCAAGAACCAACCAAGGTCTCGTAAGTTCTTCCTAGGCATCCAGGCAGTATTCCCCATTATTGAATGGGCCAAAGATTATAATTTTACAAAATTTAGAGGGGATCTTATTGCTGGCCTCACCATTGCAAGTCTCTGCATTCCGCAGGTATATATTACTACTCAATTTACATGAAACTAAAAGGAGGTATAAATATAATCATGTAATTTTAATAATTTACTTTACTTAATAAAACAGGATATTGGGTATGCAAAACTTGCGAACTTGGATCCACAATATGGATTGTGTAAGTTTGCGTTTCTTATAATTGTATTGCCTGATATGTGTTTCTTCTGGGATTCTTGGTTAAGTTGGTCATCGTATTGTTTTAAGTTGCGCAGATTCCAGTTTTGTTCCACCCTTGGTCTATGCGTTAATGGGTAGTTCAAGAGATATAGCTATAGGACCTGTGGCAGTGGTGTCTCTCTTGTTGGGGACTCTGCTTCAGGATGAGATTGATCCCAAAAAAAATGCATTTGAGTATCGACGCCTTGCTTTCACTGCCACCTTTTTTGCTGGGATTACGCAAGCCACCCTTGGAATTTTCAGGTATTTAATATCCTTCCATGTGTAGGTTTAAGAGAAATTAATCAAATAAAATATTTATACTTTCTTGTTTACTATTATCATCTTTTTTTATGCCAAACGTTCTTCCAAGTCTCCAAAAGTTTCAATTTGACGGTTTGTATATATTGTTAGGTTGGGTTTCCTGATAGACTTCCTATCCCATGCTGCCATAGTCGGTTTTATGGGTGGAGCAGCAATTACAATTACCCTCCAACAGCTTAAGGGTTTTCTGGGCATCAAGAACTTCACAAAGAAATCTGATATTGTCTCTGTAATGAAGTCAGTATTCAAAGCCGCTCACCATGGAGTAAACACTTTTCCTTCTCTCTACTTCTGCTTTTCTCTAATTCCAGTTTCTTCAACCTCTTTTTTTTTTTTTTTTTTTTTTTAACAGGAACCCAACACGAAAAACATGAATCTCTGTAGTACAATATAGTGCTTATATTGAAACAATGTTACTAAATCTTATATAACAATATTTTGCAGTGGAACTGGCAGACCATCGTCATTGGAGCAAGCTTTCTAAGTTTCCTTCTTTTTACAAAGTACATCGTAAGAGCCTGCAGTTCTTTTCTCTGGTTTCCTGCACTATTTAGGCTCCAATTATTTTCTCATTCTCACGTTATATGGTAAACAGGGAAAGAAGAAGAGAAATCTTTTCTGGGTGCCAGCAATTGCCCCATTAATCTCTGTTGTCATCTCAACATTTTTTGTATTTATAACCCGTGCAGATAAACAAGGTGTTCAAATTGTAAGTATTTTCATCTTCGAGATCTTTCAATAATATTAATAATAGTTGCAAATATAGTGGTATTTAGTTAATAATATTAACTATATCATTGATTTGTATCCGAAGGTAAAACACATAGAGAAGGGAATCAACCCATCATCAGTGGATAAAATATATTTCAGTGGTGAATATCTTATAAAAGGTCTTAGGATTGGTGTGGTGGCTGGCCTGATAGCATTGACTGTAAGACAATATCACAACCTATAATCTCTGGTTATCAAAGAATTTGATCATCTACTTTTGTATCTAAATTCTAATTATTTTCTGTTTTTTTTTTTTTTTTTGGTTGGGTTTATTAGGAAGCTGTAGCAATCGGAAGAACATTTGCTTCCATGAAGGACTATCAACTGGATGGAAACAAAGAAATGGTAGCACTAGGAACAATGAACATCGTAGGCTCAATGACTTCTTGCTTTGTGGCCACAGGTGAGAAGGAAGCACATATTATATCATATGGATCTATCTACTCTTACAACCCCCAAAAAAAAAAAAAAAAAAAAAATGATGACTGGGAATGTTAATTCACTATCATATTTTGATAGTTTTATATTAAAAATTATATATGCTAATACATGCATGACAATAAGGAAATTTCTACTAGTAATTGTAATTTATGACTTTGCTTAGCAGAGAAGAGTCCTCTAACCATAGAGTAATACTATACCAACAACCCTTTCTCACAAATTTTCTTTCACAATCCTGACGTGATAACTCAATTAATTAGTAAGACCTATGCAGGACCCATGTGGGATCCATTGTGAACTAATTAATTGCGAGCTACCACGTTAGAGTTGTGAGAGAAAGTTTGTAAAAGAGGGTTATTGGTCATATGGCTTTGGTCATCTGGTTGGGTTGCAAATAACCTGCGAAGCATTTTATGATTAATTCAGAATATGGAAAATTTTAATTCTCTGTTTTGAGCGCTTCAATATTTCCTTGCAGGTTCATTTTCTCGGTCAGCTGTGAATTACATGGCAGGCTGCCATACTGCAGTCTCAAACATTGTCATGTCTTGCGTTGTATTTCTAACCTTGGAGTTCATCACACCTCTTTTTACGTACACTCCAAATGCCATTCTGGCTGCCATCATTATATCAGCTGTGATTAGCCTAATCGACATTCAGGCAGCATCTTTGATATGGAAGATTGATAAATTTGATTTTGTTGCATGTATGGGAACCTTCTTCGGAGTAGTTTTTTACTCTGTTGAGATAGGCCTACTAATTGCGGTAACAACTCAAATCATAAGTTATATTTTCATGTAAATAACGCAACAAATTAATCTGATTATATTATTCATTTATTTGTACGGCAGGTCTCTATATCATTTGCTAAAATTCTCCTCCAAGTTACCAGGCCTCGAACAGCAATTCTGGGAAAGGTTCCCAGGACAAATGTGTACAGGAACATACAACAATATCCAAAAGCAACCAAGATTCCAGGGGTCTTGATCGTCAGAGTTGATTCTGCAATTTACTTTTCCAATTCTAATTACATTAAGGAGAGGTGAAGATATTGCTTCTCAATCTTTTTATATATATACATGGTTTCTGTGTTTCACTTCTTTTGAGTTGATGGAAAGCTATACTAATTATATTGAGATAGATTACCTAATGCTCAAATTGATGTTTTTGCAGGATATTGAGATGGTTAACCAATGAAGAAGAAGCGAAAAAGGCAGCCAACGAACCAAGAATCCACTCTTTGATAGTTGAGATGTCACGTAAGCAGTTTAATTTCTACTTTTATCTTTAGAACCCACTGTGATTGTTTACACTTTAATTCATTTGTTATGATTTTGTTTGTTCAGCTGTTACTGACATCGACACCAGTGGCATCCATGCCTTGGAAGAGTTATACAAGAGTCTGCAGAAAAGAGACGTTCAGGTACTTATAATATGTTCCCATAAATATCAACAGTTGGACAGTTTTATGAAGTTGGTGAGATTGGCTTACCAGAAAAATTCCCGTCTTGTTGCACAGCTTGTTTTGGCAAATCCAGGTCCAGTGGTGATCAACAAGCTTCACGCATCCCATTTTGCAAACTTGATTGGCGATGACAAAATGTTCCTCACTGTTGCAGACGCTGTGTCATCCTGCTCTCCCAAACTAGTGGAACAAGTTTGAGAGAGGAAACGCAAATACATAGAGTTGTTGGGAGAAAACACAAATATTTTATATAACACGCAGTTTAGTGTTGAAATACGTATATCACTTGTATGGAAAGTTATGATAAATATTAAATAATAAATATCATGAAACCTTAGAGAAGTATTTGAAAAAAAAAAAAAATATGTGTTTTGAAAAAGTTAAGTTGAACTAATAAGATTTAAATTTGAAAACGTGTTTGATAAAATTATTTTTTAATCCCTTATATTTGTTAATTTAGTTAAATACTCTTTATAATAAAAGTTTTAAAATTAATAAAAATACTCTTATCCATCCATTAAATGTTGATAGTTGACTGTTGAGAATATGTGGAATATGTGGATGGATGAAAGTGTTTTTATCAATTTATAAATTTTTATTGTTGAGGGTGTTTAGTTAAATTAATAAACTTAAAGCGTAAAAAAATTAAATATTTTAAATTGAATAAAATAAGATTGAATTTTCACAATAATATATTTAGGGTAAGAATGGCATCTACCTTTTCAAACAAAACAGGAAACAAAATATATATATTGCTTTTGGTTCTGGATGACTAGGAGGGCAGGGTTCTTTGTCTTCGTTCAGGCTTGATCAGCGACGCACGATGCACAGTTAGTGTCTTAGTGAGCCACATTCATTCAAGCTTGTGCCAAATCTATTTGGCACATGCAATATTATATTATTACTAATTTAATATGCACTGTAACATTTATTAGTTTCGTTTGACAAACAAGATCAAAACTCACTACTTTGGTAACGTTATGTGTTGATTGTTTGCATAAATCCACTGTTTAGGTAATCGAAATGAGATTTCACCTTGTGTTTATGATATAATTTTAACGTAATTTCAACATTTAAACATCATTCATTTCTTTATTTATCTTTTTTAATGATTAGACGTGTTTGGGTCAGTTTATGTACACCTCAACTAATTTCTCGAGATTTTAAAACTATCGGTCGGATAAAAGTTTTAGTAGCTATCCTTATTAACAACCGATGAGAGACTCAAATTCAAACCTCTTAAATAATACATCTAAGAATCCTTATTGAATTGTTCGATTACTCAAAGTCAAAGATAGTTAATATTATTCATTTCATCTAAAAAGTGTATCATTTAGATTATTTATCTCAAATGTATTAGAAAACTGTCACACACCCTTTTCCGAGCATAATAAATTTCAGCCTCATGAAAGTTATGAGATAGAAATTAATTTTGTTAATGAGATACTTAGGATAATAACATTTTCATCTAATCTCTGTACGGATGACTGCTTTTGGGAATATTAGATGGTTTAAGGGCAACGGAAGTCTGATGAAACTGGATTCCAACGAAATGAGCACGGTAGAATTTGGGCTCCCCAGTTGGCCCAAATATGTATCCACCTGATTCCAATATTGACAGATTCAGCACTTGTAATTGTATATAGTATAGCTATGTTTAAATATATTTAACAATTTTATTTTAAAATTGCTTTCACGATTAAAAAAAAAAAAAAAAGCACTCCCAAATTATTTGTATTCCTTAATTACGTCTGCGATCTGATGAACACATACCTTCTGGTTTGTCTGAAGTAAATAAGTGGATTATTACTTTATAATAATATAATTGGTGCCTTTGTTTCACCGAATTTTTTATTATTAAAAAGATAAGATTACCATTAAGATAAATTACCTTTAAGATTAATAGAAGAATGTTATACTAATATATTTGGTTAGATTAGTAAGTATAAATAATTAATATTTTGGTTAAGAGGAATAAAATATTATCGAGGGATTTTTAACAAAATACACTCAGCCAGCCACCACTGCCGGTCATCGTCGACAGTCATTGGAATGTTGCACGACTGATCGGATCTGGCTATTGTCGACAGTCGTTGGAATGGACCAGATTAGCATGGATTTGGCCAAAAAGTTGGATCCATTTTGGACCGAAAACGGCTTAGAATGGATCTAGTTGTTTTTTACTAGATCCACAACCATCTAGCCATTTTTGGGCCGAAAACGACTAGATTAGTGCACGACTGGTCAGATTCGATTGGTCATCCGCCGTTTCGATAACTGCTAACAGCGGCCGGCGGTGGTGGTCGACAGTTGGTAGTTGTCTTAGGTGGTTAGAGGTATTTTGGGTATTATTCATATAAATAGTGAGGGTAATTCTATCTAAAAAAATAATATATGAGGTTAAATAAGTCATTTTGCACATTTGAGTTAATTGTTATTTAGTAGACATATGAGGGCTTTTGTGTCCAAAATGTTTATTAATTAAAGGTAAAATTAGTACGAACAGTTGATTACCTTGGTAATGGAAAAAATACCCTCCCAGACGGTAATCGAATTACCCCTGTTTTTGCTTATAGTAACCACTATTGACATTTAAAGTTTAACATAATCTTTTATTACTTGACACCCAAACGTAGTAATTTCCAAAAAATAAGACAAATTATCGATGTTATCCTTTATGGCCCTGAAACAAACGCGCCCAATGAGTAAACAACATTTTCCCTACCCAAATAATAGCTTAATGACATTTTTCCACCTACAGACTTTTAAAAATACCATTTTACTAACAAAATTTATATTATGTTTCCGATTCCGACATCGTTGCAATCTCATACCATCACTATTCTTTTTCCCGATCATCACTCATCGAAACCCCTTATATACTACTCTTGCCGACCCCGCCAATCACCAACAATTGAGCAATTAGAGTTTGCACATTCGCCTTTCTCAAGTCAAATTCTGATCAATCCCAACCATAAAAGTCCAATATTCTACCACCAAAAGACTCATCACTCTCCTACCAAAAGACTCATCAGTCTCCCATTTTCAAAAATCTCAATTGTCTAGACTGAGTTTGCTCTCTGTTCGCCATCAAAATATAAATTTAGATAATAAAATGATATTTTAGAAATTGGTGGTGGGTGAAAAAGCATCATTAAACCATTATTTGGGTGGGAAAAACTACTTAACTTTAAATAATTGAGTTGTCATCACTGTGCGAGGTGTCGGTTGACAAATTAGGCACTAGAACGATATGTCATCTAGTTAAATCCTCAAGTCGTTTGCACTTTGCAGTATGTTTCCTTATTAAGATGATGTTTTAGCAGCGGGTGGTGTGCCNTATATATATGAATTGAAGAACTCTTTCTTCTATTATTTATGATATATACATACAAGACAAAATGCTCTGAAACCGACAACATGAATGGTTTCTAGGGCATACACTAATATACATTAACATTTTTGGCCTTCGATTTGGCCAAAAACGGCTAGATTGGTGCATGGTTGGCCATGTTCGGTTGGTTGTCCGCCGTTTCGACGATGCCAACAGCGGCCGGCGGTGGTGGCCGACGGTCGATAGTTGTCTTAGGTGGCTAGGGGTATTTTGGGTATTATCCATATAAATAGTGAGGGTATTTCTATCTAAAAAAATAATATATGAGGTTAAATAAGTCATTTTGCACATTTGAGCTAATTGTTATTTAGTAGACATATGAGAGCTTTTGTGTCCAAAATGTTTATTAATTAAAGGTAAAATTAGTACGAACAGTTGATTACCTTGGTAATGGAAAAAATCACCCTCCCAGACAGTAATCGAATTACCCCCGTTTTTACCTATAGTAACCAGTAACCACTATTGGTATTGAAAGTTTAACATAATCTTTCATTACTTGACACCCAAACATAATAATTTCTGAAAAATAAGACAAATTACCGGTGTTATCCTTTATGACCCCGAAACAAATGCAACCAATGAGTAAACAACTTTTTCCCCACCAAAATAATGGCTTAATGACACTTTCTCACCCACAAACTTTTAAAAATACCATTTTACTAACCAAATTTATATTATGTTTCCGATTCTGACATTGTTGCAACCACATATCACTACTATTCTCTTCTTCGATCATCACTCACTAGAACCCCTTATATACTACTCTTGTCAACCCTGTCAATCACCAGCAATCGAGTAATTAGAGTTTACATAGTCACCCCTCTCAAGTCAAATTTTGATCAATTTCAATCACCAAAATTTAACATTTTACCACCAAAAGACTTATCGGCTTCCCCTTTTAAAAATTCTAATTGTCTGAATTGAGTTTGCTCTCTATTCGCCACTAAAATATATATATAGATAGTAAAATTGTATTTTAAAAGTCGTGGGCGGGAAAGTATAATTAAGCCATATTTGGGTGTGAAAAAGTACTTAACTTTAATATAATTGAGTTGTCATCACTGCGCGAGGTGTCGGTTGACAAATTTGGCACTAGAGCGATATGTCATCTACTTAAATCCTCGAGTCGTTTGCATTATGTTTCCTTATTAAGATGATGTTTTAGCAGCGGGTGGTGTTCTCACTCATGGCTCTACTCCCTTCCCTCCGTTCGATCATCAAACCACCACCGCCACTACTCTCCTTAGCTTCACTTTTCTTCCACAAATGCAAACTCTCAATACCAACTGCCACTAACATTTCCTCATCTCTTAAACCCAAAGCCCCAAACCCCCCGAAACATAACACCCTAGTATTCAAACCAGACGAACGCTTCCTTGCTGCTAACGGTGGGACTCAGGAGAAGTTTGAGAGTTCCAGGACTATTGCCGCAATTGTCACTTCCATGGGTGGCCCACCTGGCGCTGTGGGGATTGTACGGCTGTCGGGGCCCAAGGCCGTCGATGTCGTTGGCCGAGTGTTTAGACCCCTCAAGACAAGGAAGAGGAAGACTTCCTGGCGGCCCACTACTCATGTTGTTGAGTACGGTGTCGTTTTAGATGCTCAAGGGGAAGTTGTTGATGAGGTATTAAAATGTTTTATGTCCATTCTGGTTGATTTCGAACCTCGTCAATTGATGCTCTTTTTGGGTATTAATGATGAAAGAGTAAAAATTAAAATAATAATTTTAACAAATTAAAATAATAATTTTAACAAATTAAAATGAATGACATAATAGTCACTCCGATGAGACTAGTTCATTTGTAGAGTTAGTTCGTGCTTGTGATATGAAGAAAAACTTGAGGCTTTTCATTTCAATTTATCATTTTTAAGCTGTATTAAAATTGAAAAAGAAAAAGTATTTGTGGATAATTTGACATATCGAACACTTCTC